GAGAGGGTCCAGAGAAGAGCAACACAAATGATGAAAGGGGGGGGGGAGAGGGCACATCCAGCCCGCCAAACAATTTAATCCGGCCCTCAGGGTGGGGGGGGGGGAGGATGTGCAGCAGCCTTGAAATGCTGCAAGGGGGGCGCCTCCTGGGGGTCACTTAAAAATCTTCCCCCAGCCTCCTTTTTGCCAGTAAGGACCAGAGGGAAAGGGGGGGATCCCTTGCAGGACTGTAAGGGTGTTACAAGGAGGAGGGAGAAAAATTGTTCCCCTTGGTCTCTGAGGACAGGCCAAGAAGCAAGGGGATTAAACTGCAGCAAGGGAGGTTTAAGTTGGACATTGGGAAAAACTTCCCAACTGTCAGGGTGGTGAAACCTGGAATAAATTGCCCAGGGAGGTTGTGGAATCTCCATCCCTGGAGAGATTTAAGAGCAGGTTGGACAAACACCTGTCAGGGATGATCTAGACGGTGGGATTGGACTTGATGTCCCTTCCAGTTCTAGCTGTGAGGATTCTGTGATACCACCAGCAGCCTTTCATCAGGTTCCTGAGCTCAAACTGCACTTTTAGAAAAGCCAGTATGGTGAGGGAGGAATCTCTCCTGTTCCTGCAAAGCTCCAAGAAATCAAATCCCATCAAACAGGCTGCAGGCCAGACTGCTGGGCAAGGAAGGGACTGCAGGCAACGTTCTCTAGTTTTTTCATCCACATGCGGAATAAATTTTGTTACATGCACCGAACTATGAACACATGTGCACCACCTGCTGCTGGCCATGGGCTCTGCTAATCAGCTGGGCAGCATTTGACACTCCACTTACGGGGAACATTGGCTGCAGGTCCCGGAGCTCTGTCCTAAGAGCCCTCCGGCAGCAGGCTCTACCACTAAAACGCCCCCATTGTAGAGTGTGTCACGCCGGCGAACGCTCATTGGCTGACGGAGCACTGAGGGCGGGACACGGTGCTAGCGGGTCTGCCCCAAGCAGCACAAAGGGGCTGGATTGCATTCGAGGCGCTGGCCTTGTAGGGTAGCACCTGCAGAGGCGCGCTCAGTACAGGCAACGCGTCTGGGCTGCATCCGACACAATAGGGACCATTCTCAGTCAGGATCAGGGCCGTGTGCGGCATGGTGGGGGCGCTGTGCTC